GAAGGGGGGGGGGGGGGGCCCTTTCCCTCCCCCCCCCTTCACGCGCAGGGGGGGGGGGGGGGGGGCCCCCCCCCCCTTTTGAGCCCCCCCCCCTGGATTTTTTATGTTGTCTATCGCTCTTACAAATGTTGGCAACTCCCGCTTGACGGCCACGCCCCCTCTAAGCAGAATTTGAATTCGCAAGGCAAGGTCCGCAGGCCCGCCTCTAGTCCGAGGTCCTACCATGACCCTGAACCCTAACGCAGAACCGTAACCATAAAGCCTAAACCGCAAACGCAACCCTAACCCCTAACCCTGACCCCCTACCGTAAGTCCCAACCCTAACTCGCCCTGAACCCTACACTCTAGCCCTACCCTAAACCCGAACCCTGACCTGTAGCCCTAAACCCTGCTCGAACCCGGACCCCTAGCCCTAACCCAGACCCGACCCCATTACCCTAATCCTAACCTAATCCGCAACCCTAACGCATAACACGAATCTGCCGTGCAAGCGATGAACCCGAACCCTAAACCCGAACCCGTAAACCCAGCAAAACCCAAACCCTGGGCGCCCCCCAGCGCGCCGCGGTGCAAAATGGATCCCTAACGAGCGGGTCGGGTCGGGCGGGCGGACCGTGACGGGCGGGTCGGGCCCTAACGGGCGGGTCGGGCGGACCCTAGCGGGCGGATCGGATCGGGCGGGCGGGGCATGAAAGTGCGGGGGGATGTGCGAGCGCTCGCGCGTGAACCCTCACGGGCGGGTCGAGTCGGGGGGGCGAACCCTAGCGGGCGGGCCGAGTCAGGCGGCCACGCCCGGGAAGCGAGAGAAACGAGGGGGCGCGAAGACAAAGCGAAGACGAACGCACACTGTTTAGGTCGAGCCCTGTAGCTGAGGGCATGGTAAGGAAGCAATTCGCGCAGCTGGCCTTTCGTCGCCGTCGCACCAACGGAAATTGCCTTAAACTGACAACTCAGCTGGGCAGGGGGTGCCGCTGCCCACTGGAGCTTTCAGCATTAAGGCGGACGTGTTCTTCGGCTGCGATTCTTGTCGTACGTTTGTTGTTCAGGCTGGGGGCCTGGGCCCCCGACAGCGCCGCCCAGGGGGGGCCGCGCGGACAGGGGGAAGAGGAGGAGGTGGGGAGAAGGTGGGGAGGATGGGGAGGAGGATGAGGAGGAGGAGGAGGAGGAGGAGGAGGAGGAGGAGGAGGAGGTGGGGTAGCAGCAAGGTTGCGAGGTGGTGTCGTCGGCGCTTCCTCACTGGGCAAGCGTCCTTGATTTGTTTTCCAATTCGTTCGCTCCAGCGACAAAATCCCTGGTTCGCCTCTCTCGCCTCCTACGTTCCTCGCTTGACCCCAAAAGTCATGGTTCGGGAGGAGACAAAATCATCGCTCGCTTCCAAAACTTTCCGCGCTCGTCGCGAGCAATTTCTTTGCTCACCTGTCGACCCCACGTCGGCACTTCCTGTGTCATCGGCGATATGGCGTAGCATTTGTGCCACTTTTTGTGTGGACGGGGAAACCGCGAGCTCGCTGCTCAGCGCCCTTGCTACGCCAGGGTGGCCCCATCTGTGTCCGTCATACTTCGACGCGTGGCCAACCGGCGACATGATCCTGAACTACGATGCGATATGGTATCGATGTTTTTTTTTCTGGGATCGCCAGCAGCCTCCTGTTTAACTGGCACGCCTGCGTGAACCTTGCAACTGTGTCAATGCACTCGCTCGGGATGCACACGTGGCCGATTCAGCCGACCTGCCCCCTAATCGCCGCGGCAACTGAGGCCCGCGGGGCGGGCTGTGGTTCTGACCACTAACGACTGGCTCTCGCGTAGCTGTCGTACCGCCGTGCTGGTGTACTGCTCGGCGGTCTGTCCGTAGTTCACCACGGCCGTCGACCCGATGGTGTGCAGTTGTCACCCAGTCACGCTGTTGTCCGATACCGTCGCCGGCGTCCGTGGTGATGGTGGGCATCGAATTGGCGGAGGTGTTGATACAAACCCTGTCCGTCGTCCTCATGAGTTTGTCGGTTGTGTTTTCGAGGCGGCCCCGCTCGCGTGGGTCTCTTGATCTTGAGCAACAATTTCATGATGTAATGGTGATATCGAAGCTGTGTCCTCTGAATCGGAAGGCCCCGAACCGACCACGAAGACCTGGCGTTCCACTCTACGTTCGTACTGCACGATTGATCATGATGGTGTCCTTGCGCAACAAGGTTGTGATCCCGCACGACGTTTGAACATGTCGTCCTTGCGTATGTAGCCGAAAAAGACCGCCCTGGACCTCACCGCCGACGCACGCTGTTTTCTCAGCCAATCAAGATAATGATGTGTATGTTTCAAGCTCCTCCGTTAACACCAGCAGTCTGTCCTCTCTGTTGCATGCGAGAAAATTCCAGCCTACGAAGCGCATCAATGCGAGAGCGAGCAGTCGTCACATCATTCCGGTCCGCGCGGCAGCTGGGCAAGCCTGTCCTCCCACATCGGCCGAAGGAAGGCGGTGCCGCGAGGCAGCGGCGCGGCCACAGCGGGCGCAGGAGCTGAGCCTGCGTGGCTACGATCTGGAAGAGGAGAAACAGATGGATGCATCGTGCTTCACAAATGAGCAGGAGGACACAAGCAGGAGCAGGAGGAGGCGGCGCGGAGCGCCCGGTGGCCCACGAGGGAATGGGAGGGAGTGCAGGTGGACGCAGAGAGCGGGCAGGAGGAGAGGCGGGAGAAACCGGACCCGCCGCGCGAGAAAACTGTGCCAACCACCGCCCCGCACGTGGCAGCTCGCACGGAAAACACTGCTGTCTAGATCACTGCTGCTGTCTAGACAGCCAACCCGAGCGCCCACGCCGAGACGGCGCCGAGGCCCCGCCCCGCACGGGCGTCCTCGCAGCAGCCGCCCCCGCTCGAGCACCCGGCTAGGTCACCAGCGCCAGCTCCGTCCTCCCGGCTAGCTGTGGAGGACGACGAGGGGGGACGACAGGGAGGGACGAAAGGGGGGAGGCATCGACCTGGAATCGGCGATACATCGCCGATAAATCGGCGATGGGCCCCAAATAGCGAAACTGCACGTCCCTGGGTGGGGCGGGCTGTCGGGCCCCCATCGGCGATGACTGGGCGATTGTGGGTCGATGCGTCCCCCCCGAGCCGAATTCTCCGCCCGAACGGGATCCCCGAGACGAGGAGGGCTGGCCGCGAGCGCCGGCAGATCCGCCTGCCATCGCCGTGCGCTCCTCGCGCAAGGCACGCTCGCTCGCACCCAGCCTCAGGCTGCTGTTCCGCCCTCGGCCGCCGCCGCGAGGCTCAGCAACGCGGCGCGCAGGGCGGCGGCCGCGGGCGCCCCCATGTCCCTGGGCAGGGGGAAGTGACGGGCCGACTAGAGACGAGGGGCCCGCAAATCTGGGGACACCAGAAGGTACCGATACCGCTACTCCTCAGAAATCTGCCGGGGCGGGTTCTGAGAAGGAGTTCAAGGCGAATCCAGCAGTGGCGACGAGGGCCTTCCAGGGGGGACACACCGGCCGGGGAAAGAATAGCGGTGACGGTACCTATCCTGCTCTGATAGATGGCGACATCCGAGCCCTACCCCCGCCGCCCATAGGGTTGCCTGAATCGCCGCCAATCTGAGAATCGGCGCACGCGCACATCACGAATTGCAATTGCGACCATGTCCGTATCCGTGTCCTCGCGGTCTCGGGGCGCCCTCCCATGGGTACGCGGTCGCACGGATACGTTCCGCGCGGAGCGTACATGAAAAAACGCCCAGTATCTTCGGGGTCGCGGCCCACGGGCCCAGCCCGCGAGGCTGCGTATACGGATAGCTTCCTCGCCCACGAGCACAGCCCCCCCGCCACCCAGCCTCGGCACGCACAGCCGCGCCGCGACGTAGTGGCACGCCTGCGCCACGTCCGCGCGGTCCACCTCTGCGCCGTCGGCGGCCGCCCGTGGCAGTACCGGGGGCGCCCCGGCCAGCAGCGCCGCGGCCACCGCGCGAAGCGCGGCGTCGACCGCGGGCGCCTTGGGGGGTGCCAGAGAGGTGCCGATGCCGCTGCGCCGCGGGCCTCTCTGGAGGCACGTTCTGACCGTGGCGACAAGGCGAACCCAGCCGTGGCGACAAGGCGAGTGGGAAGCAGCATCGGCATCTTTCGGGTCCTGTTGATGCCATATGACTACTCGGGGGCATGTTGAGGCCAGCCGGGACTACCTGGGGGGGGGCTGTCCGTCCGCAGCCCGAAGCTTTACCACCGTCCCTGGGGCCTTCTCCGGCGCCAGGCGCTTCAGCTCCTGAAGGTGGCGACGAATTCCGAACCCTACACCCGCCGCCCAGCGAGTTGCCTGAATAGAGGCCTCCCAAATGGAGTCCAAGTAGATATCGCCGATGCAACGGCGATGCATCAGCGACGTCGGCGATGCATCGGCCCGTCGACTTGGAGAAAATCGAGCTCCACATCGAAGCCGCCTTGCGGATGAATCGGTGATGCGGCGCGATCCTTCGACTCCATCTACTCGGAACCCATTTGGGAGGCGTAGAGAATTGAGGGACTGGCACAGGGGGGGAAGCGCGACCTGGAATCGGCGATACATCGCAGGTCGATCGACCATGGGCCCCCGATTGCAAATCTGAACGTTATCCTGGGCAGGTTGAGGTCATCAGACCCCTCTCGGCAATCAATGGGCGACTGGGGGTCGATGCATCCACCCCCTTGAGCCTGTCCCCCCCCCGTATCCCCCCTCGTTGCCCGAATCGTTGATCGGCGAGGGCAGGGTTCGGATTTCGCCGCCGATCCTTCTGGCTCTTCGGCTCGGCCAGCACGGCGTCCGCGACCACGGCCGCGCGGTTGGCCAGCAGCTTCGCCGCAGCCTCCGCGCGCGCCTCCACGGGCGCCGCGGCCAGGGCCGCGCCGCTGGAGGCCTGGGCCCGCGCCAGCAGCTCGCCGGCGGCCCGCTCGGCCGCCGCGGCGCGCGCGGCGGCGCCGCCCGCGAGGGTGCCGTTCTTGCCGCCGAAGATGCGCATGAGCACCGGGGCGACCGCGGTCCTGCGCGTCGGCCAATGAGAGGCCTCCCAGAAGGGGTCGGAGGATCGCGCCGCATCTCCGATGCATCGCCGACGCCTCGGCGATGCATCAGCGACGCCGGCGGTGCATCGGCAACGCTGGCGTGCAGAAAATCGGGCTCCACTTTGAGCCGCATCGCCGATGCATCGCTGATGTGGCGCGATCCTCCGAACCCGTATCGGAGGCCTGGACGAACGAGTCGAAAGTGAGCCTGGCAACTCAAATAGGGCATATAGCCTGGCAAATTGCATCCATCGCTCTGCTGTGAAGGTACAGTATGAGGGGTGGATGGGTAAGATAGGATAAGATCGATGTAATGATCTTTCCAGCACATAGCGAACACTCGCGGTGTCCGGGCAAATAGGGCGCGCGTGCCTTGAGCCCAAGGCAGCGGCGCGCGAGCTATGCTCCCGATACTGTAACATCTCCCAAAGAGCTACCCTTAAAGTCGGGAGGGGAGGAGACGGAGAGCATAGTCGCACGCAAAGATCGCGCGCACGACTGTTTGCAAAGAAAAGAAAACAGTGCGTACAGTCTGGTCAAACACCAGACTGTAAGGCGAGTTTCCTCGCAAAGTATTTCACGCAAATACAGGACAGCCCCTTCAAACAATGAAGGGCTATCGGCTCAGTTAGAGGTAAGCCAAAATTAGGCCATACCTCACCAAGCAAATGTGTATTAAGGCAAAGAGCCTGAGTTGTACGAAGCCGGCTCGTTGCCAGGCGTGAAATATAAGGCTCGTTTCCGAGCAGCTAAAGGGGCGCCTTTATAGTAGGCGCCCGTGCTGGCAAACTGGACCGCGAGGGCAACAAGGACAGACTAAAATTGATTAGACTTAGGTTTGTCTCTGTCCTCGGGACCCCGAAAGGGAACAAATTGCTTCACGTCATACTTAAATGACTGAGTGCCTGACATCACTTCCAGAAGCAGCTCCCGATCGATGCTTCCCTTTGTATGCCCATCTGCGGTCATATCCCTAGTATCACACCATTGCACATTATGTACTATACCTATATCCATGAGCTCACGTATCCAGCTGATATGTCCAAGCAGAGTCCGTTCTGTAGGTATTTTGAGATCCCTGCTTGATAAAGATTTGTAGACGGACTCAGCGTCTATGGTAAGAGAGACTTTGATAGCAAGGCCTCCAACTTCACGCATGTCTCGTAGTTGTCGTGGAGTCAAAGCCCCTGCCTTAAGCTCGTGGAGAGTAATGAGCGTAGGGTAACACTCATCAAGGTTATGCGCGGCTGCAAGTGCCTCCGCAGCATAACTGGACCTCACCTGTAATCGGTGTGATTTGCATAGTCCGTCACAGAGGTGAACGACGGACTTGCCGTGAGGCGAGTTCCCTCGCCGTAGTACGTTGGCCCCGCGTATGCCGTAGCCCTTGGCCTCGTCATCCTCCTCCCCGGTAAGCTTCCGATACCCCGAATCGCTATGGATGTCAACTTCATTCGTCGGCTTCATCCGAGGGGAGGTGATGCGTTTCGGGCTGCTGATCAGCTTTCGCGTCACAGCATTCAAACGTCTGACTTGCAGATTGGCGGGCTCTCGAATTTTCTGAAGAGAGACCACATATACCATGAGCCAGATTTGGGTAAGAAGGGCATAGGCGAGGGCTCCTCGCAGGCTGACGAACATGTCGGCAATGAGTTTCGTGGCTTTGGCGTCGGCCGCCGCTCCTGTAAGTTCTGGGTGTGTGATAGGACGTAGTTGTTTAATGTACTCGTCCTGGTCCATGATCACATCTCCCTGATCATTCTTAGTTTCGTATATGTGTGCTTGTTGAGCTTGCATTTGCCAAACACCTTTTCGACGCGTTGTACATAGTCGTCTATATTTTTCTCTAGACCTGTCATATTAATATCATCGACATGTTTTGCCGTCAGAAGGTCTTGGCTGAATTCAAATGCATCGTCGGTCGGTGAAAGTCCTATAGCTCGTGTGGTCGTACGAAGTTTGAGAGAGAACGCTCTTGGAGCGTCCTTAGTACCCGTTCCTGGTTTGAGGCATCTAAGACAGTGCCGACTTTCGTCGTGGGATGAGAAGCCGGGTAATGTACGAAGTACCTGAGCGCTTCCTGGTGGAAGAGTAAAGCAAACCATGCGAGTTTCCTCGCCGGTGGCATGGGCAAGTTCCTCATAGGTCAAACCCTTGAGGAACGCCTTATCGATATCCATGGATGCTAAGATCCATCTGGATGGAATGCCGCTTCACTTGCCAGGAGTCGTTGGGACTGCCTTCGGGCGGTTCCCGAGAATGTTTCCACATCAAAAGCCTCAGTATCCATAAATCCACGAAGGACCAGTCTGAGACGAATGGTTTTAACGTTCTCGGTACCACTCTTTACGAACTTCCACTTGTATACATATCTGGATGTCATGATGTTGGAAACTTTGGATAAACCGTACATCTCAAAGCATCGATTATCAATCCAGATTTTGAGCTCAGTATATAAGGCTTCACTAACCTCCTTTGGATGTGCTGCCATGTCGGCTTTGGTTAGTAAATCATCTTCTTTGACAACCACAGCACGTTTAGCAGCAGAGGATACATATACTCTCATCGTTGCGACCATATCGGTATCGAGCTGTGCAAGTTGAGTCTGATCCAACACTATTTTAGACATTTCTGATGTAAAGCATAGTTCAACGTAAGGACCGTATTCATCACTGTCTAGAGAGTAGCTCTCGTCGGCTGTGTTTGAACAAAGAGAGACTAGACAGGACTCACATGACTTCGGCTCGTCTCCGAGCATATCTGATGATATAATATCATCTTCGTCCACAAATGCTGAAACCAAAACACACTGGTCGGGCAGCATAGTTGTTGGGACGCAGTAAAGATAATCATCGGTAATCGTCGTAGGATGAAGGTCCATACGTAGCTCGTCGTACCACTCTTCCAGCATCATAGCTTCAATGTTGTGTTCCTCATTTTCCTCATAGATTGTCGACAGACGGCCTTCGCTCGGCGATGAAGCGTCTGGTGTGTCTGGAGAAGGCCTGTTTCCAGGCGACTCGTGTTCTCCAGACGTGTTGCTTGGATGCTGATATTTAGCCAAATCGTCGTGAAATCCGAAGGAAGGGACACGTGAAGTCAAGCATTGAATGAGTCTGGAGTGAGTGCTACCAATGATCTGAGAAATGTTTACGCCAACGCCCACGCATTCGTAATAGTGGAACGCCGGGCTGATGTCGTTGTCATAGTGGATCAGCGTAGACCCGGTGGCGTACTTTACTGCAGGTAGGCTTGACACACTCTTAGCCAATCGAACTGCTACTACATGTTCTACTCGGAAGTAATTCCGTACGAGATACTGTAGTGCTAAGTGTACGCGCGGGTGAAACTTGCTGTCGTCTGACAGATTAAGGTTTCCCTTGTAATCGGGGATATACCCGAAAACTTTGGCAGGTTTCCCTGCGCTGAGGTGTGCCACATAAGCAAGGACGGTGTGCATGGCCATATTATCCATGCCAAGTCCCCGTGTGAGGAGACATTCGATGTATAGTGTGTGACGAGCATCAGGATACATCACAATTACCTCACGAGATCCTGCCTTGACAACAATGGCACGTTTCGGATCACCGGGAATGGGCCGCCCCAGCCTCCATGGTCGTCCTTGGTGGCAGTAGGTCGGTGGTAATCGACCAAATCCCCTGATGAGTAGAGGCGAGCACCATCAGGAGTCGTCTTAGCCCTAAGAGCCCGATTTGTCTTGGCTACAGCAGTAGCCTGAGTTATGGCTTCGAGGCTGACTTCCCTTACACGACGTTCTCGTTCGTGTCCTGAAGTCTCGGGTCCCTTGGGAAAGTCAAGGGTATCGAGATCAGGAAGGAAGGAGGGCTGACGTCCTGTGTGTGCCTGATATGGCGATACTCCGTTATAAAACGTAAACGCATTAGTAACGAAGATGCCTTCCGCCAATACTCTAGTGAATACAACAGGGATGTTGTGTCTATTCAATTCTTCCTCAATCATGTGGAGGACGCCTCTGAGAATGCCGTTTCGTGACTCAATTGAAGTCGCGTGTTGGCCAGGAGCACGGATACGAAGTTCCGTGCCCTTATTGGCCATCATGGTTTTAGCGGCATCGTTGTTCAGGGCGCCTTCTCCGTCTGAGTATAAAACTTTGAAGGGTCCATGATAGGCAATCCAGCAATAGTGGTAGGCGTCGATGATAGTGTCACGTTCTCTGTCGGAAATCTCTAGGCCTGCTGCCAGGCGAATACAACGGTCCATAATATGAAATATGGTCCGTTTCTTGTAAAACATGAGGTCCATTTCCCCTTCATCGAGCCAGTTACCAGGGAGGCTTACCGATGGTAATGTTGAGTTTCCTGGACGTTCCCATGCTCTACATTCCCGACAGGTATCGCAGATTTCCTTGATCATGTTCAGTCGAACGTTATCAAGCCCCACCTTTTCGAGGATTAGCCTCATCTTTGGCTCCTTCGCATGATGCCATCGCAGATGCAGTTTTCGGAATTCCTTTTTCACAACATGGGGTTCGTGACTACGGAGACTCTGTAGACTGTGTTGGATGTCAAATCTCGTCCAGTCGGGTAGTCGTGGAGCCCCAGAGCCGGTGGAGGCAAGAGGGTTCCTTGTAGCTCTCCGTAGTTGATCCCCTGTGTTGACTGCGTCTGGAGGTGGTGGTACGCCTTGTAGACGTCCGCGGCGGGCCGCTACCTGTGGCGTGTCACTAGAAGACGCAGAAGGCGTGTTTCCACGCTCGGGGGCGTCTCGTAGTAGGTCGTAGCTGCTAGTACCAGATGTCGGATCGACGTTACCGAAGGATCGTGGTCGCGGTGGCCTGGCGCGTGCGCCTTGGCGGCCACCTGAAGCTGAAGCTTGGCCCTCACCAGGTTTAGGTAAGGGTTTCCACCAAGCTGGCACGGCTTTGCCTTCGGGGTCGTTTGCCTTTGGTTCAGCAAAACGACATTTACCAGGTTCGGTATCAAGGTGGTTCTTAACAC